GTTATATTTCGCAATATACCCTGCCGTTAAAAAGAGTAGCCAGTAAATAATGAGTTAAAATTGTGATTATAACTGCATGTTCAGCTTAACTGGGTTCGTTACCGATTTGGGCTCCCCAGATTAATCTCGTTGACGGATGATTGCTGACGGGAAAAGATCGATAAAACTAGCTGAGAGACAGGCGAAACGAAGGATCCGCATGGTGTGGTGGTGAACGCGTTACACCCACGAAAGGACAATAGCGGGTTCGTTCCCCACCGCAGACACCTGCGGTCCGTAGTTTTACAAATGTCTCAGCATCATTGAAATTAAATATGTATTTTCCATTGATAACCTAATACGACGTTGATCAAAACCTTATTCGGCTAATGAAGAGTTACATTGGAAGAGTGAAGAACTACGGACAATCGGCTGGGATCAATCCGGCCCTGAGAAAGGTGAAAGCTACGAAAAGTTAGCCGACTACAGTTTCTTATCAACCTCGTGTTAGATTACTAATGAAGAAGTGCATGTTGATTTCTCATACCGAGGGAAAGGGAAAATCGGACATCGAAACATCCAGATTTTGTCTTCCAGTCATTTTTTTGTTGCTTAGATATCTCGAACTGATAAACTATAGAGAATAATGCTCAGAGAATAAGATAACCTTAACACTATTCCATGGCTCTGTTCCCTTGCTGATTTCATTTTATGGGATGAATTCACTACTCCTTTCTTAAAAAAAAACGTACGCCAGACAGGAGACCCTCAAAAGAACTCACTATTTTCATCAAGTTATTGCCATAATCATGGAAGTAGCTGCTACCTCTAATCTCAGTTATCCAGGAACCTAAGTGAGCACCACTACATTCGACCTCTATTGATCCTCATAGCACGTTAGAACTATTTTAACGGGTCTTGGTTGCTCGATGGACAAATAAAGCACCACACTTTCGTTACCAGTCTCCTTATTTTACTTTATTAGATGGCAAAGTAGCATTAGCTAGCTAGTTTGATTTGTCATACGATTATCGAGGTTCTGGGCTGGGATGGCCAACTCCTCTACTTGATTGTTGCTAGAGGTGTCCGATAATCAAGGACACACTCAGGCCACGATAAGATGTAAAAATAAGGGTGTGATGGAGAATATTCATATAAGGGCTAAAATCAAAAGAAAAAAACAGAACGAAAGAATAAAGGAATTTTCTGTAAGAGAAATAAAAACAGGTTCGCCCGCTGATCATCCTTAGCGCAAGCGGATGATGCCGAAGTGCAAGTTGCAATATAAGAAATACTGTAGATGATGAATGGTAGTCTAACTTGGTCTTGACGCTACCATTCCTTGTTTTCTGTTAAAAAATAAACTTTTGACGTTACTTAGTTTTTGTCTTGTTCATTTGTACATTGATGACTATGACTAAAAGGAATAGGCAAGCCTTGACGTTTCATGCTAGATGTGCTCGAGAACCACACTTAGCCACGATTAGTTCAATGAGATAAGTTGTAAAAGCTAGTAAATAACGTTCATAATGATAGAAAATGGGGCGCAGGTGGCGCAGTGGTCAGAGGCGCCTTGCAATATACATGGGATCGATCCTGTACCATAGGCTCATCAACCCTTCCATCTTTCCGGGGTCGGCAAATTGGTACCAGGCTTGTTTGGAAGGATGGCAGCAATGGCTCGATACATCGCTAGGCCATCGCAGGTCATTGTAAAGGCCTGATATGCATTCAATCACCACCAGTGATGCTTAATGAAGTCGAATGCATGACGCATTCCTCAGGGATTGATCAATACCGACAGCTTTGTCGTTTTTTTAATGATAGATACTGACTTGTGAAATGAGTTCTAGGGGGTTCGCTTTACCGTTTGGCTAGGCAGTGTTGTACAGCTGATCATTAGTTCCATATATAAATCCATAGTTTAATAATACAGAGCTTGGACCCATAATACAAGAATAACCATCAGACAGAAACATCATTCCAAAGGTTCAACTTATATTACCATAATAATGCTGAGATATTTCCAAAACTTCAGACCGCTGGTATCCGCGGTGGAGAGCGAACACGCTATTATCCTTTCCAGGGGATAACGCGCTCACCACCATACCATGCGAGTCCTTCGTTTCGCCTTTCGTTTCCTTTCTTTCGCCAATTTATATTACTCAATTATGACAAAGGACAAACCATTTGGCGTTCATCTATAGCGTAAAGTTGCACCATGCATTCAACTCCATTCATGTCATGGTGGAGGTAAATGTATGTGGTTGATAAAATGACTTTTGGGAATTTTCTGATATATCGAATTAGTATTTTTACCCTTCAAAATAATTCCAGTACTAATTTACCAACAGCGATAGGTTTGGTTAATCCTTGGTACAGAATCGAACCAACGGCTGTACGCATCGCAGATACACCTCTAACCATTGTCCTCCACGTGCCTTTCACCATTAATCGCTTTAGACATAGAACGAAATACCTGGTTTTTTGTGAAAACTGTAGGAGACTATAAATAAGTGGAAAGTGTTTGACATCTTCTATTTCAGTCCACTTAATACGTTCGCTACTATTCTCATTTAAATATAATGGTTCACCAAAAACGAATTCGTCAACAGAATTCAATGAACAAGACGCTAAAGACATTTCGCTATTTCATTCATCCGTCAATAGTTTCAATAATACACCAATACAAATATAGTAGGGCAGAGGTGGGGTAACGTAGAAGTTAGTGATGTCGTCGATTAGGAAGCAGAGGCGCTTGTTCGACCCCATCCCCAACGGTCTCCTCTAATCCACGTGAGAACGCTTTAGCTTGGCTATCTCCAAGATTGCAAGAACTGACTCGACAGCATTCTACAACATTCGTAAAGAAGATGAAATTCTCAAGCACCAACTGAAGGAACAAGTGAAGTGTTCGAAGACCACTGTGAACGATGAATGAGAGGAAAACGAATCGAACGCAAGAAGTGCTGCGATCCTCACAGTAGATATGATGACGGGTCTTGTAATAAAATAAAAAATTCGAACAGTGATAAAATAGATTATATACGTATATGTCGAAGACCTTATAAAAATGGAAAAATCTGAGAGGTGAATGACAAAGATGAGACCAGGTACTCTGATAATGTTTGGACGATGAACATCAATGGAAGCATGTCTAGGTGAGAAAACAAGAGCTATTGTTTTCAAATAACTTCTCTCCTTTGCCAATTAATGAAGTCACTTCTGGAAGCGAACATTTACACTTATAGTCTGACGTTTCGTTTATCTACAGCATCCAACACCCATTCCGCCTTAACTACACTCATGGATTGATGTCAACTCACATCGTCTGACCTGCTCCTTCCACTTTGTACAAGTGAAAACGAATTCACGTCGGACTCTAAGTGTTAAATGTATCAATTATGGAATGGCAGAGCCGCCTAGTAAGAGGTTCCTTATTAAATATAGTGCAGAGCATTGTCACATTCAATTCTCATCAAAGGTGTTGTCTCAAGTACGAAAAAGGTAACGTCTTCTTTTAAAACGGAATTTATGACGTTAAGTTGACTTGACGCTGATTTAAGGCAGTTGACGTTCGTTACGTCACGGCGTTGAATGATTAGGTTAGAGTGACATTGGCATAGTCCTAGTAAGGTGCTCTTTGTAAGAAAAGTGATCGGAAAAAGATTAGGGACTAAAATCAAGGACTGGCATGAAGCAAAATCGATTAGCCGACACAAGTGGGTTATAGAAATGGTGGCATGGCGCCAAACAAGTTCAAGGACGAAAATCGGGGATAGCGAAAACCAGAACTATTGTCTCGCTGAGAAATCTGCGCTGTTCACGGATGACGTCGTTGTCTTCTTCTCGAACTTCCATCCAAGTATGGCCAGCGATTTGAAGCACACCACAGTCTCTCGTTAGACCCATAAGATTAAGGCTATTCTAGCAATAGTATAGAGATTAACCGCTCTTCGATCTCATTAGACCTTCACACATGCACTTACTCAACCCTTGGTAGTAAACTTGAGTAACCTCAGTAGATGGAGTATTTACGACTTCATAACCAAGTTCTGCGCCTTCGTTGCATTTAAGGTTGCCTTATAGTCCCATGTGAGTGAATTCTTGAACATTCTATAGCATTGACAACTAGATAAAAATAAGTCTGAGACATGTTAAGATGCCCAATCTTAAAAGCATCCTCCGTAAAACGTACTATTATATGTCGAAAAGCCGACTACTAAAGACCTTCTACACAAGTTTGACTACGGTTATGTTCCACTGAAGTTTCAATCCATAGAGTCCTACACGTCCATTCGCTAAAATTTACGTGCACCACATTTCTACAACTTACAAGTCAACTCTAACCACTGCGCTTCACATGCACCACGCTACCGTAAAAGCTAAAAGCTCTCGGCGTTGATCTACCACCGAAGAATGCGCCATACATTTGACCTCATTAAGCATCGTTTGTAATGGATAGAATGCATACCTAGCCTGTACAATAACTCGCGGTGATCTACCGATGAATCGAACCAGTGCTGCTATCCTCCCAAACGGGTCTGGTACTACATGGGATAGCTGGAACAGAAAGTGCTAAACTGTACAACAACGAACTGCCCCCACTGTCTGAATTAGGCATACACTGTTGCAAAACCTCTTCCCGCAGCCGACGCTAAGAAAAGAAAAAAGTGAAATAAGGATTACAGGAATCACTTCCCCTTGTTCAGGGAGCATTTTTTGCTCATGTGTCGATATAATTTTCGACATAAGAAGGGACAAATAAAATTTATTCAAAGCGAATACACGTCAAGTAGGCGCATGAACTTAAAAGCTGTACACTAAAGTATGGACTGTGAATGGCAGGTGAGATGCGGCGGAATGAGAATAGAAGTGGAAATATTGGATATAACAGGTAAGTAAAGGCATGGAAAACAGTCAGCACTTCGGGTTCACACACATCCTTCTTCTCTCTACTATCAGCGGACACCAACCTGCAATCAGAATCAGTGCGCTCAATTACGACAGATGCGGATAGATTACACTGTTTTCACCTGAGCTTGTGCCGTGCTCTTTCCAGCAACGTTATTTTTGTTTTGTAAGGGACGACGGAAGAGCAGCACATGTCGTTCAGGACCATGGATCATATAGTGGACCCAACCAGGCGACTAGAAAATGAAATTTATTACACCAAGGCATTAATAGTTGGCAACTCTTCAGACCTGCTGAATTCCCAGACTCCGCCACTCAGTTTCCGACATAAGGCGATTCTTTGGTATTAACTTAGCCACTTCCTGTAAAATCTCAATGAAAACTTTCTAAAGAAAACAAAATCCAAGAATACAAACCTTGGTCACGTGGACATGTCTGTATTCATACTCGTCATCCTCGTATTTGTTCGAGTAGTAGAAGTCGTTCTGACCGGTTGTCATATTGAACTCTATAATGAGTAATGTTTACTGATTACCTTCTAGTCTCAACAAAAACAAGCACACATGACGGATAAGATTCCAAACATGAATTACCAGAGACAAGATGATAACCTACACAATGGAAATCCAGAAAGGCTACAACTTAGGATGATTACTGGAGATTAGTGAACCGAACCAAGAAGACAATAAGAAAGAAAGGATATTTCATTGAAGAGTAGTAATGGTACAAAAAATTCTGCGGAAATGGAGACATTTCACAAAAAAACGATAGCCAATGATGTATAGAACACCAAATTGTGGACCAATCACAGGTACCGAAGATCGCTTTCGAGAGCTAGGACTACAAAAAAAAGTTTTATTTAACAAAACGTGCATGTTCCCTTATGTACGAAACGATGTCGGCTTCATCCTAAAATAAATGACCTTAAATCTTAAAAAGTTACAGTATAAGATACCTAGCAAAACCCACTACCTCGACCATTTCTGCGAATCTTGCGACAGTCATTGGGAGAGCGGTAGTACGAATATGATCACCAGAAGCGTACTTTACTCTCAATGACGAACTTGGCTGTCGGGTTGAACTAGCAGTTGTCACTGAAAGGATGTCGGGATGTGTCAAAAGAAGTAACGGATTGCATTCATTTAAGTGAACATACCCACAAAAGCATACTCTAGGATATTGGGTTGAAAAGACATCTGAAATATGGCTACTTCATAAACAGTGGGAGAAGATAAGAGGCTATCTGACCGATATCAAAACAGAGAGGGATAAACTCAGAGGTGATAGAATTAGACGAACATACCAAACTTTATTTCAAAACAACTGACACTGAGATCACGAAAATCACCCCGACAACAACTATGCCGACCGATGAAGAATAAAAGAATAAACACAACGTACACATATTGCTATATGATTTTATATTACTGAAATAACGTACATAATAAAACATAAAATTTTGATTACACTGATCATTCATGCCCAGGTTTATAGAAATTTGGTCTTTTCAGTTGCAAAATAACAGACACGGATACACAAAACCTGTTACAGGGTCGCGATTAACAAATTCTTTGGTTCATCCTGGCATCGTTCTCGTCCGAGCTGGCTGTATCGCTACTATTTCGTTTCCGCAATCTACGACCCCGTTTTTTCGGTCTTTTCACTAATGGTCCATTTAAGAGAGTCGAGGTATTGCAATAAGAAGGTATCTATAAATTACCTTACACTCTAACATACAAATCACCGCTGTATATATACACATGTGTACACACACACGTACACATACATGTGTATATATATATGTATGTCTAACATGTAAATATAATGTACACATGTATACATATGTATATCTTTACATCTAGGCCTGAATACCTCTTCTCCTTCAAAAATTCGCTCAAGCCTTGTTACAGAATAGTCATCCGCGACCGCTACGATGATCCTTCCATTTGCACCAAAACATATCTGACGGATACAGCATTCAGCGATTTTTGTGGCCACTGTCCTGAAAGTGGAGTCCAAATCTTAAATATTTACTTACTTGGATACGCGGATGGCCCGTCTTCACTGGATGTGCGGGGCGTAGCATAATTTCCTTGTATTCGAAGTTTTGCTTGTTTAGCTATGATAGTTCCCTGTAGTTCCGAGGTCAGCCCAACCAAAGTCTAACCCAGGTCGTCACTGCTACGGGCAGTTGCCGCCCTTGTGGATGGATCAGAGACAGATTTGCTACCATGCCACTAGTTTGATACGAGCTGGACAAGGACTGATTTATTTTTAGCTAGGTTTCCTGATGGAGACGCCGGACTCATTCTCAGCTTGGGAGGCCCTGTCGAGAAGATAAGTTCCCCGCCGCACATCACAGCCCTACACAGAAGAACACCTGTCAGCGACGTTGGAGAAGTAAACCGTTGGGGTGGAATCTTAAATAGATAACGAAAATTCCACGGAATGAGCGCTGATTTGAGAAAATTAGTATGTTTAGACATAAGAGAGTGGAAACTGGAATTTCAGTTAGTTAGCTTCTGCATGGTATTTCTAGAAAAACAGTTGCTTAAGTGAAAGACAAAAATCCTTCCAGAAAGTTACGATAATGCGGTTTGAAATAAACATTAGACGAACAAAAATATAATCCACGTACATATTGCCCATTGGAAGTCCATCAGTCAGATCCCACATGCACAACTGTCCCATTTTGTTGCCGCTCACTATCCACTGGAAAATTTTTAGATTATATATATATATATACATACATATGTATATATATGCTTATTCATACGTCTATATGTGTATACGAACATACATGTGTATAAGTCGACACATATATATGTGCGTATCTCTATATTTACACGTACATATATACGTATATCTATATAAAACTGAGAAGTTTGGCTTAATATACACACCCTATTAAGAGGATCGATGTCAAACTTTATAAACCATATATCGGAATCTGGAAGATCCAATCGAGCGAGTTGCAAAGCGGACGTATCAACCTAGACATTCAACGCAGTTATTCATACTATTAGATTCAATGTACTCGGAAATTTGCAACAAACCTGAAGTTTTGGTCTAATCTTATAAAATTCCTCTCCAAAGGAACCAAACCTGAAGATGACTACTGACATATCAGACCCCTGAAATATTACTGACGGTCTTCCCAAAATGAATAGAAAAATCGTTCAAGAATAACATAACTTAGAAATCACATAATGGCCAAGAAAGCGAACGCAATCGACATAGTCATTATGGAGATCAGTATTGATGGCAATAGGGTAATGTATTTGAATAGTTCTCCCTGACTGGCAATCGCTGAAATGTTCACATAAACTAAAAGCCGAAGCTGCGATTACGACTTCGCAGAAAAACATTCCCAATGGAAGGAAAAATAAATGATAACCATAATAATGCCGAGATATTTGCAAAATTTCGGACCTCTGGTGTCTGCAGTGGAGATTGAACACGCTGGATGATAGGCCAATAACATGGCTGACAGAAAGGGAAAACGAAGAACTGACATAGTTTGGTGGTGAACGCGTGGGCTCCCGAAACGGTGATATGGGGTTCGGTCCCCGCCGCATACACCAGCGGTCCAGAGTTTTGTAAACATCTCAGCATCATTACGGTCATATTTCACATAATACCCTGCCATTCAAAAAATTGTAGACAGTGAATAAAAACTGACGACATTGTTCAATAAATAATTTTGGTTATTCTGTTTATTTCTCAAGGAACAGAAGAGCAAAAACAAGAAAAGTGTGAACACATGACTCTTGTGGAAAACCTACTCAGCTAATTCCTTCCGAAAATTGACCTGGCCTTTAAGCGTCATGCTGTCACGAATGCGCTCTTGAAGTTTGTCAGTACCTAAGTACCACAGCCGGATGGAGTGGTCCATACTACACGAAACGATATATTTACTGTCCAACGACCAATCCTGTACAAAATTGTTTTTAAACCCTTTCAACGTGTTACTAGGAAAGAACTAACGAAAAAAACTTACAAGTGAGAGTACTTGATCCTTGTGCCCTTCGTATCCCCCTAAAATTGCAATTGGTCCATGGACTCTAATATTCCACAATCTTATCGTGGTATCTTTAGAAACGGACGCGAAAATCATAGAGTTATTGGGATCCGTGCGCATTTCGTTTACGTGATCACCATGACCATACATATTCTGTAACTTAACACAATTCAAGTCATTAAGGTTTTTTTTAAAATACATTGCCTACTACAACTGACACGGCAGGGTAATATGAAAAATCAAAGACAGTGGTGATGAGATCTTTGCAAAACTGTGGACGGCAGGTGTCAGTGGTGGGGATCGAATACGCCACTACCCTTTCCGGGAGCTAACGCGTTCACCACCACAACATGAGCGTCCTTCCGACAACGGGATTGATCCGGGAGTCCAAACCTGCTGAGAAAGGCGGAACGAAGGACACGCATGGTGTAGTAGTTGAAGCTTTAGCTCCCGGAAAGGGTAATAGCGTGTTCCATTCTCGCCGCAGACACTTGCTGTCCGGATTTTTGCAAATTTAAGTCATTAAATTAACGTTAAAAGGAAGTTGTCAACCGACCATTAACAGATTTCCGGAAGAAACATCAATGAGTCGAATAAGCCCAGAATAGCCTCCGAAAGCAATCCGGTGTGCTTTGTCAGTAATATCATAGCACCATGTTAGGGTGAAAATATCCATATCTGGCTGTATATGACATTTCGAAAGCACCAAGACAACACAACAAACAGAATAAAAGGTAGTTCACCGAAGGGTCCTTGATGCTTCTGACGAGGTTGATCTTATTTGAATTAAGAGGACATTCATAAATGGTAATCTAAAGAAATAGCCCAGACCAATCAATCAAATAGTAATAGTAATAATAATCATAATAATAAAAACAATAACCGTAAAGAGAACACTAAAAACAGAAGAAAACGAGGGAAGGTAAATTATCGAAATAGTTCAAACAAAAGCTCAAACAGTTACTTAACATATTTTTTGCGGCAGTGGCAAGGATTGGTACACACCCATCAGGCTGATACGGATTGAAGGCGCATGCATAAATCGGTTGACGATGTTGTTCCTATAAAAAAGCACAGGCTAGCACTCATCAGTGAGAAACATGAAAACCAACTTTTAACAAAACGAGAAGCTAAACTGCTCTTTTCATAGCTCAGCGCTTTTCCGCCGGCCATTCCGAAAAAGAAACATAACTAGTCCTCCTCTAAATATTGTGATTTAGAAAATTCACAACGATAAGAACCATGCAAAGGCCTCAGGCATGTATCTTGTACAGATCGAAGCAGTTTTGATATCGTAAGAGTTCAATTTGAAACAATAATTACCATGTTATACCTTTTTATTTTCTGCCTACTATAATTTCACTGCAGGGCACTAAGCGAAATACAACCACAACGTTGCTGAGATATTTGTAAAACTCTGGACCGTAGGTGTCTATGGTGGGGAACGAACGCGCTATTGTCCTTTCCGGGGAGTAACGCGTTCACCACCACACCATGCGGGTCCTTTGTTTCGCCTGTCTCACAGCTATTTCCTGTCTCTCCCTGTCTCACAATAATTACCAACCATTCGAACGGTGCTCCTTCATATGGCGCCCAAATTTGGCCAAACAATCCACACATCAAGAACTGTGACTTCTGTGATTTCTATAGTGTCTCACTTGTGAAAGCCTTTCCGTGCATCTCTCTCTCTCTCTCTCGGAATGTTAGTCCTCTTATATACAATCGCTATTATTGGATGTAAGAGTTTGATATTTAAGCGCAATACTCGCTTAGCTGAAAAGCAATTTGATAGGTCAAGGTGCTCCTAAAAGTACGGCCTACAATGCGGTCCACACTCCAACAATGTTGCTGTAGCTGAGAAAGAAACTCTCACATTTGAGCTACTTTATGGACAGCCTCCCAGGGGCACCCATCAGGGAAGTCCCCACTGCCTCGGACCCAGTCTCAGCATTGAGGGTAACCCAAGTATCCGACATACCACTCATGGCCAAGTCGAAACCAGAATCTCCTAACAGACTTCCAAGGACATCACCAAGGAAGTCCTCACTCCCTAGAAGCCGTCCCAGTATCAGGACTAACAAGAATACAGAAGAAATGGATGAATTGATAGTTCAAACCTGTGTTTGAACCACAATGTATTTTAAACCACCCAACACTGCAATAGTCAACTTTGCAAATAATGGACAAACTAGAAGAAAAAACCGCAAGAGATCAACAAGAAGTCTTCAACTCAAAAAGTTCTTCAAGCCATAGTCCTTGGAACACAATTCAACCATAAAAACTCACATAAACAGTTTTCGAAGCGACGAAAGGATTATCAAGATCGTCAGGTGGAATCGCAGATGGATTGGAGATGTCTATCATACGAAAACAATCTGAAAAAAAGAAAGAAAAGAATGAAAAATGACAGTGGGGATAAAGTAGATTACCATCTTTAGCGGAGCTCATATATCCGTCCATGAAAGCAGCAACAGAATCTTTCATGTAATGCACGCTCATCAAACAAAGAAATTAAAAGAGTAACACCAGAAGTAGCAACTAAACAAGCCGGAACTTCAGAATTCCAGAGAGGAAATTTGAATTGGAACAGAGAAAAATTGCGCGCCGTTGGAGAGTGACGAAAATCGCTGTGGGTCCCAATGCTCTAAACTCGTGACTCCGCCTTTCCTACATGGGGGTGTTCACCCACCGGAGTTTGTTGTGGTAGATATTTACGACTTGTTATGTAGTAAATATGTTGTAGATGATGAGTTGAAGTGAATTAAGAAGTTATAGAGGGGTTTATTAGGTGTGAATTCCACTGAAAGCACTTGGGTTACTCTGTGAATAGAGTGTGGGTGTATCTGTTGCGGTAACCCTTTCGTCAGGTTAACAGGTTCTGAACCTACTGTTTAGGAATAGTAGTAATTTCTTCCTCAATACGGATTTTCGGCCATAAAACAGTTATTAGGTTCTTAAAAGAGGCTCTGACGGTAGTAGATGAGCTGTCCATCAGATCGAGCCTTCGTTCGTTCCCAGTTGTTAAGTCCTTCAAATCATCCATTCATCTCCCTCATATTCTGAGAATTCTTTCGGCCGTTATTTGATAGCTAGTCACTAGACAAATGAATAGAGAAACCAAATATCTGACACGGCAGGAGATGAACTAACTACTCGATGAAGCCTTAGCTCGTTTTCAGTTGTTCAGTCCTTCAAATCATCCATTCATCTCCCTCATATTCATTCTGCGAATACTTTCAGTTGTCATTCGATAGCCATTCGTTAGTCAAATGGATAGAAAAGCCAAATGTTTACTGTTTACAGTTCTCATTGTTTTTGCAATCTCGTTCTTGACCATTCCCACAGAAGCGAGCGAGTACGGTCCGTGGTCTTTATGTCTTAGCAGTAAATGCCTTCGATGAAATGAGACTTACTTGTTAACGTCCTGTTTTTAAGTGGCCATGTCGTTGTTAACAGGAGCTTTACTCAATACTGGCTGACCTTTCGAGGGTTTCTGTTTCTTTAGACAACCAGGAAATAGTTCCCAGGATCGACTTTCTCTTAACCTCGGCATTGGAATATGAATCTGTCGTTTTCTTGTTCAGCAATCGCGCGGTTTTTAAACAGCATACATTAGCTTCCATAACTTCCACCTTACTTCCACTTGTATTGTGATTTTTTTATCGAAGGTATACCCTTCCAGGCTCTGAAGAAGGCGATACTGCCGAAACGTCAGCTAGCGTTGTATTGTATTGTGTCTTTTTATGGAAGTAAATGTATGCTGTTTAAAAACCTCTCGATTGCTGAACAAGAAAACGACACAACCAGGAAAGGTCATACTAATGTGCAGTCCGAAAATTCAGAGCCTGGAAATCCAGACTGTCAAGCTGGTCTTCCTACGCTTTGAAGGAGACAAGACTGCCAAAATGTCAGCTAGTGTTGGATGAAGCTTTTCTGAGCAATGTAATGTTCGCTTAAGAAGAAAACGTTAATTTATTGATTGGTCCCAAGCTTAATAGAGATTCGATTCCAGGAAGTACTACGTGGTGTACTAAGAGGCTTACCTATCCTCCTGGAAGTGAGTTCCGGGAAGTACCACATAATGTACCAGGAGACTTACTCGTCCTCCTGAAAGTCGATTCCGGAAAGTACTACATGGTGTATTAGGAGAAACTTGTCCTCCTCTGTCAGTTAACTAAGGATTCGGCGCTGTTTTACCCTCTACTGTTATTAGATCTTGTTCTGCCCGATATCTTTATCACAAGTATTAGTCGGCTCGGCCTCACATTTGTTCCAGTAAGACAACGAAAATCTCCGAAGTGTCGCTAGATCCCGCCTGTCGTCCTCAAACTCACTCGTTTCTCGTTTGGCATAGTACTAACACTTAGCGCATTCTTCTGGAATATTTATCCCGATCGATCTATTCCACAAGTATATCTTCTTTACATGACTCAGCACCACATTTCGAAGATATCAGCACTTGTATTCGATTCATCCCCTCCGATCCACCATCTGTGAAGATCTTCGTGCGTTCGTTTTGCGTGTAGGTTTGGCTGCTGCTAGAGGATTTTCGTCTTCGTCATGAACGTGGTTGAACGCTGGTCGAGTCGATTCTCTCTGAACTCTTAGGACAGCCATGCTAGGACGTTCCCATCCGGATTAAAAGGAGTGAATTGCTCCCGTAAAGTCTACTAGCGATTTCCCGACGTCGGTGGAATGTGGGACGTAGCGAGCGCGGGGCGGGGTCGAACTAGCGCCTTAGTGGGTTGGTCCTTCCGCGTGATAAAGGGCATCGCTGCCACAGCGCTACTAGCCCTATTATGTGACCTCTAACCTGCATGTTCCTGTTCTGAAGTGACAACGAGTAGGAGTCGACTGTAACTGAATTTTCCCTATTCTTCTATTCTTTGCAGTACGAAATTATCTGTACCGTTGTTTTCTGTGTCAAAAGTGAAAAATCATTTTTCGACAGGTGATCGTCAGCTGTTTTCTTATTACCAGTAGTGATCGGCATGTCGTTCCTGGTGATTCCGGCGCTAAACCGAAACCGAGATCCCTCTGGTCGGTGGTGTCTGGGCACATTCTGTCGCTTTGTTGACTTAGACGATGAACAGCGAAAATCACCATTCTCGCGAGCACGTTATCCTTAAATTGGTATCGATCGTTTCATGGACTGTCGTGGGAAGAATTCCTGTTTGAGAACGACGTCCGTTCCTGTTCCACGATCTTCCATGTGTGCTCTATTGACTTAGATTTAACCTTAACATGACGACGTGACCCTCTACGAGGGGGAAGCGGAAGGACCCCGCTTGCAATTCACAATTAGGAAAACTGTAAAACTCCACTCTGTCAAAACTATGTATACGATTAGTGCAGTATATCAAAGGCTCTTCATTGAATCTATAAAGTTCCGAATTCCTTAAATACGTACGTTATCGATTGGGAAATTGTCGTCACAGTTGTCAAGAAACTAGCTTTGTCCCTAGAGGGTTAAACACTTTAGCGTTTACCTAAGCGATTTAGCTTTCTGAAAGTACTCATATCGCTACTGTATTGTTTCTTAATCCTGTTAGTTCGTTTAAAAGACATCTATTCCTCGTTTCCTTGTTGTTCTTGCCTATCGTTTGCTCGTCTTTCAGGTTCAAGGTGTGTCAGGATCGATAGACGCCGCTGATTCATCTATCGCTCAACAACCATCTCTAGCTGGAGAACGGTGATGGAATCGTTCTCTTAATTAATGGTTGTATGTCAGTTACCGTTCCTACGGACTAAACATTTAAGTAAGGTCTTACTTTGATTACAAACTTTCTGTTCCTACCTCTGTAACATCACCAAAATGGTCCCGTGGCAGTTTTTTTTACAGAGCTTTCAAAAAAACGTATCTTCATGGCTTGCAGTAATTCCGACGACTGACTTTCTCTTAACCTCGGCCTTAACCAAATAATCCTCTACATGCTTGTTGAGCTGTAAGGCGCGTGTGTCGCAGTGGTCGGTGGCGCCATCCAATAGACATGAGAGCGATCTTCGCGCCCAAGCTCACCAAGCCTTCCATCCCTCCGAAGTCGGCATATTGGTGCTAGACCTGTCTGGGAGGATAGCAGCACTGTCTCGACACATTGGTAAGCCACCGCGAATCATCGTAAAGGTCAGATATGCGTCCAATCACTTCCGACGATGCTCGATGAAGTCGAAAGCATGGCGCATCTCTCAGGGTTTGATCAACGCCGAGCGCTTTATCCTTTTTATTCTTGTTCAGCAACAAAATCATAGGAAATGTCTTTAGTTTATGCGTATGGAAGACGATAACAAAAGTCCTCGAGGACGTGTAAGCGCTTTACGCGAACAAATTCAGGAAAAACTGAACGCCTCCTTGCAGAAAGGTTCATCTCATCTAGTGTCAGGTAGGTTTTTCTCCTCCATGTTCTTTATTTATCATAATTCTGTCTCTTAACACATAACTGTGGTCGACTATTTTGTCTAGGTAATGCCATCCAGACCCATCCTTTTCCCAGTGAAACTCTGCCTCCTCCTCCTGTTCTCCTGCACAGATCTAAGAGCCCTACTCAAACCTTAACGAAGTCTACGAAGCCGCCTATTGCTCCCAAACCACCGATTATTCCGAGCTGTACCCAGGTATGAAATGAGATTTTTAATGGCTTTGTGTTGTTTTCTTTGCGTTTTGTGTACTAAATGCCTAAAGGAATGATGTCATTCTTCCTTGTACAGCATTTTTTTTTCGGAGTTTCAGTTAGGTTATAATCATTCTCATTATCATTCTATTCTGTTTTCATATCGATTTATGTAAACCAGTAACTTTTCTGACAGCTACTTTCTGAATGTCGGTCTGTTCTTGTTTTACTGCTTTTCTTTTCAAGAAACCAACCATTCTTGTGTCTGATGTTGCTGAAAGCTCAAACAATTTGCCACCGTTGAGGAATTTGAATGGTTTTGATTCTGCTCCTAAAGTCGTTCTCACCGACGAGGAACTGCATGAGAATGCTGTTTTTGTGGCACAACCTCCCCGTGACATTCCACGGTCTGCTTGTCGTCTGCTTTACATTTGTTTCCTTTCTTCAGCCTTTCTGTCTTTTTAGACCACAATCTATTGCTTCGACCACCAGCACTGAAAACGGAGATGCTGCCGATATGTCAGACAGTGAGTCTGAAGATGGACGTCGCAGTAGTACTACTACTCTGCAGAGACGGAGCTCATATGTTAACGGCCCTCGTCGTTTTTCACATAGAAGGTTATCCAATTCTATTACCTCAATGTTAACCTTTATTTGCTAGCTATTACAATTCTTCACGGCAGAGTATTATGTGAAATACAACCATAATGATGCTGAGATATTTGCAAAACTCCAGTCCACAGGTGCCTCCGATGGGAAACGAATGCGCTATTACCCTTTCCGAGGGCTAACGCGTTCTTTACAACACCATGCGGACCCTTCACTTCGCCTTTCTCACAGATAGTTCAACTATAGCCTCGGCTTAACTATGTTCAATGGCAGTTTGTGCTTCCCAGGTCAATCCCGTTGACGGGTGATTGCTGATGGCACCGGTAGATAGAAAACTAGCTGAAGGACACTAGAAACGAAGGACTCGCATGAGGTGGTGGTGAACACGTTAGCCTCGGAAAGGATTATAGCTCATTCGTTCTCCACGGTAGACACATGCGGTCCGCAGTTTTACAAATACCTCGGAATCATTGTAGATGTCCATATCTAAATTGAAATGATGATTTCTTTGATTTTAACGTCTTTGGCGAAAACTATTTCTGTCCACTTCATATTTTTATGGCAGTGCTACGCATATTTTGTTCTAAATGGTGTTTTTTTTAATTTTATTTTACATTTTTGGTGAAATGTTTTGTGAGGTTGTTTTTCTTTTTCTAGGAATGGAATTCTTAGGACTTACCTCTCCTTGACATTCCACTTCAACCTTCACTTTTTCAGACCATCTGCTCTCTGTTTTAATGGAGATCCCTCTATTCACGACAAAATAATTGATGAGCTAAAAAGACAGGGAATAATCAGGTGAGTCGTTTGCATCCAGTTTCTATCTCTTACTTTTTAACCTTCTTTTTCATTTACTCCCAGGGTCGCTATTTAGGTCAAGTGATCGCTCAGCGAACAGAAATGCTGACGCTTCTTCACATGATTTGCGTGTGGAAGACCAACAGCGAGAATGCTTACGATCGAGTCCTACTGTCAGAAGAAATCGCGTAAATTCAAACGTTCATTTGTGCTTTACTAGTTTTGTTCGTTCGTGTTATTTATCGGGTGCCACATGGAAGTGCCTTCTTTAGATTCCAACTGCTGATGCTTCACCTTGTAGCTCTTCAAATGATAGGTTGGAAAGCACTAACGGTCGAAACAGCACTACTACAACGATCTCTATTGACTACGAAGGTGTGCCGAACTACTGCTCTGGTGATGCACAAGAAGCAAGTACTATCTGTGTATACCATTGTGCAGTTCATCCAACTAATTTTTGATATTTCAGGATAGACGGTTGAAGAAGTTGCACTTCGCAGCGAATGAATTCTATTCAGTTCAGAAACTGTTTCTGAAGTACTTGAGGGACATGGGAGAGGTTTGTAGCGCCTCGAAATGCGTTGTTTAATGAGTTGAAGTATGATTTGCATACTAGGTATATCCGGAATATGTTATGGAATACGGAAAGCGCTTTGGGAAAGATTTACTGGCACATCAAGGATCTCAGCCACATGTGGTGCGGCAGCTTCAACTTCACTATGAACAACTCATTCGTGTACACCAACTTCTACTTGAGGAGTTTTCTTCACGACTTAGTGTTTGGTACGTTTGCATGTAAGGTCATGCATAAAACAAGGTCTCCAAAATTGACAAACTACTCAGTACTTGAATATAGAGTAATACATCTCGTGCCCTCTCAATTACAGTACCCAAGCAACAAGCTTTGAAAGCTTCTCCATTACCTTCAGGTTATTGTCATCTTCTGAAGCGCACAGTCCAGTTAAACACCCACTTCATGAGTTTTGAAGGTTATCTTTCTAAGGAAAGGTTCCCAAGAGCTTGCTCAAAGTCTCCTCAATCAATGTAGGATTGAATAACTCGTCATCGAGTCCTTCCTTTGAAGCATTGCCATCATATTCGGGTTCTCCTATTAGCAGTATAACCTCCGTGAACCGCATTATGTTCTGAACATGTTGTTTGGTAACAGCGTCTTTTCAACGCATGGAGAATTGACGTGTTGGAGGTTGTCGTTTTTATCGACTTAGTACTTAACTATATTGGATCTGAAGAGCATTTTTGAAGATGAGAAATGTAGATTGGTGTTGTTTCCCGTTTTATTCCTCGAGGGGTTTATGACATTTTCTTCTCGAGAATCTAATCCATCCATTAATAAAGTCACATACATGATTTCCGATAGGAGGTGAGGTTCTCCTCTGCTCATAGTGTATGTAACATGTTTGGTTCTAATGGATTCAAGACGATGAATTGTGAGCCAGTTATCGAAAGATGCGTTTCCCAGCGTATTAGACAACTGATAATAAAGGATAAAGCTGTCGGTATTGATCATTTCGAGGTATGCGCCATGCATTTGACTTCATTAGGCACCATTGGAGGTGATTGAATGCATACCTAACCTTTGCAGTGACTCGCGGTGGTCTACCGATTTATTGAGCCTGTGCTGTTATCCTCCCAGACAAGTCTAATACTAATTTGCCGACTTCGGAGAGATGAAAGGCTCGGTGAGCCACAGGCGGGGGGATCGATTCCATGTGTACTGCAGGGAGCCCCGACCACTGTGCTATACGCGCTCCAAACAAGTGATACAAGGAGCAATTCAGCGCGTTTCCCACAGATTCTAGATGTCAATATGTGAAATAAATCTATCAAATAATTGGTTATTGTGACAGGCGAGATTCTACGAAACTGTGTGGTATGACCTGCAAGGACTCTGTGCTTAAACCCCTTACCATGGAAAGAGACGAATCTATAATTTGTATCTATTTTGTTGATTTTTAGGGATTCCTTGAAGCCGAACATGGCTGACGTAATCATCAAATACGCTGACTTTTTGAAAATCTGTAAACCATTTCTGCTAGAAAAGTCGCGTTTTGTTCAAGAATTAACTCAGCTTCGTATTGAAAATAAGGACTTCGACAATGCAACAGTTGCGGTAAGTTTGTAATTAAGGGAGCTGAGGAATGGGCCAAGATTTTTGATAATTTTTGTTTCCCAACGTATTTCAGTTTGAGCAGAAAATTTTCAATCGTGGTGTTGGTGCCGTTGTTCAACAGCTGGATCAGGTTCACCAGAATTTTATGAGGTTGTTTAATATTTCCACTTCATCCATAAAATGATTCTGAGATAATTTTAACTTATTATTTACTGCCTATTCTTTTTAACGGCAGGGTATACATTGTGAAATATAACCTCAATGATGCTGAGATATTTGCAAAACTCCGGACCGCAGGTGTATGCAGTGGGGAACGAACGCGCTATTGTCCCTTCCGGGGAGTAGCACGTCCACCACCACACCATCCGGGTCCTGCGTTTTACCTGTCTCTCAGCTAGTTCTATCGATCTTTTGCCATCAGCAATCACCCGTCAGCGGGATTGATCTGGGGGGCCCAAATCGGCAACGAACCCAGTTAAGCTGAGGCGCCGATTCTGAGATATTTGCAAATTCTAGGCGGCAGGTATCTACGGTGGGGACCGATCACAATGTTGTCCTTTTCGGGGGCTAACGCATTCACCACCACACCATGCGCGTCCTTCGTTTCGCCATTCTCTTAGCTAGTTTTCTATGGAGCAGTGACATCAGCAGTCACCTATCAGCGGGATTTCCACTTCATTTATTACTTTGCATGCAAAAGATCCAGTGTATATTGCAGGTACAAAATTCTCATGATGAATTACAATAATTATTTGGAGAATGGTAGTGAGGAGCAGAAGAAAACTCTAGGTTTGTTCAGATAGTTGGCTGCTCTCTTAACGTGTATCTCTAAAATATCGATATTGATGTCTGATAGATGTTTGCCTTTGTTTACAGAGGCCATCGCAAAGTTGGAGAAGATTGCACAGTCTGTTAACGAATCGATGGGTTTGCCGAGCAACGAGGAGTTGTTTAAACTCTACGATCGTTTCCAGGTTTTTTTCGTTTCCAATATCTATTCCTCTAGTTATCATCTTTTTCTTTTGCTTATAGAGAGCCATCTTTACACATTTCCATTGCGGACTGAGATTAGCATTGTTTTCTGAAATTAGAAATGTTTTTATATTCTGCGACAACTTTATAATGCAACGCTAGATTGTATTCTTCTGCAAATCATTTTTTTTCGTTACTGAAAAGACGTAGTCCCTTTAGTGTCATTTCGATGTTTTCTATCCGGGTCGGAGATTGATACGTCAAGGAGAAGTTTTCAAGCAGACTCGGAAGGAACCACAACCACGGTATCTTGTGCTAGTAAGTTATCGCTTGATAAGAAAAAAGACTACTTCGTACAAACCTTGTTTGAAATTCTATTTAAGTTTTCCGACATATTATGGATTTGTCGAGTTATGTCGGGCTTTGGCTCCTCTGGTCTTTTCGATATGAGTCGATCTTACGGAATTCCTATCGAAACTGTCCGAACTGAGAGCAACTCCCATGAGGACTATGAGCAACAACTTTACGTGAAAAGCAAATACAAGAGCCTAATTCTCATTATGAGGTTTCTGCTAACTGCAGTCCTCTGAATGTGGCCGTTTTCATACCTGTTTGTTGTTTTAGCAGTGCTCGTGAACGAAGTCAGTGGCAAAAGGAAATCGACGAAGCTCGTGAGGAAAAACGTAAATACAGAAGGCGCATGAATGAGGCTATTGAGCGGCAAAGGAAACAAAGCTTGGTCTGTGCTTGAATCCTACAGCTAAACTATTAGGGAGTTATTCAAGTTTACTCATTAAGAATCCTTTGGCATTCGAAACTCCAGTATCTGAGGACAATTATGTGGCTGATGAATGTCACAATGGAAGTAGCGATAGAGTTTTGCCTGCGATTACTTGCGATCTGCCGAATGGACAAACGGCATGTAATGGTCATCATTTGGCAATGTAGGAGTATTTTCCGTGCACTTTGTTTTTTAATCTATGTTTGCTAACAGCTAGCATGTATAATAACAAGTGAAGAAGTTTTTGATGAGAGTACACAGGAGGGAAAAGAATATTCGGAAAGCTAAAGTTGGATGATGTGAAATATTGGCAGCAGTTATGCTTCTAAAGCCGGGTCAACCCTGACCCTATCTCTGTATGGCAGTAAATAAGAGACTTTATGGGGAACTCCCTCCAATCCACATAGGCTGGCGAGTAGAGCTATCTCTGGGTTTTGGTGGGAACTATTTGACCATCGTTTAGCGAGATTCGTGAAGAAGACCAAAGTCTTCAAGGTAGGAGCTGAACTCACGCACGAATTGGAACACATTCGTGGAAGCCTGGGGCTCAACTACGATTGGAAGAAGTGCTGAGTTTTGAAGAGTATGTGAAGGTGGATGATATAGATAGGAGTGAAAAATATTTCCAAATTTCCCTATCAGTTGATCACTCTTTCTACACTCTGCAGCGCCTTTTTACTTGGATACTTAGATGGTCCATTTTCACTGGTTGTGCTGTTTCTAGCATAATTTCAATTGTTTCGGAGTTTTGCTGTTTAAGCCATTGTGGTTTCCTGCAGCGCCAAGGTCAGTCAGGCCAAAACCTGCCTCGGGTCGTGACCACCACTGGCACTCACTGGCCTTATAAAATAGAGCGAGATTTGCCACTGTGCGACTAGTTTGATACCAGGACGGTAGTGGATCTTGGCATCGGTTTACTTCTGGCTGAGTTTCCTAGTAGAGGCGCCGGACTAAGCTTTGGTGATCCTGCTAAGGGGATGAATTCTCCCGCTGTATATCGCAGCCCGATACCGGGGAACACCTACCAGCCACAGTGCAGTGGTAAACCGTTAGGACGTTTTCAGATTTGAGAAATTGAGTTAGCTGAACTAGGGACACAATTGTTGCGACAGAGGATTTTTGAAACAGTAGAGTGTTGATTTATTTTGTATGACATTATGACACATTTTTGGCAGGTCCCGTCGCAACTCTGATTCGCAAGATTCTTCTCACCCAAGCACTCCAGTTGATGACACGCCTGGGCCCTCTGTTACCAGTTCAGTGACTGGAAAACGAAGTCATCTTTCTACGTTGCCTTTTGTTTGCTTGTTATTGTTGAAGTGGCTTCATGTTTTTAGAAGTGCTACGGGCCGATACCATGAAACCATTGTGGATTCCGGACGATTCCGCAACAAAGTGTCTCATGGAAGGGTGCGATACCGAGTTTACTTTTCTGCATCGTAGGCATCACTGTCGCAATTGTGGTTGGGTACGTTTCTTTGGAGGTGTCCAGTACAGTATTTTTTCTATAGAAGAAATCATCTATTTATTGAACTGTTTCAGTTGATATGCTCTGATTGTGTTGGAAAAGCACCGCTCTCTAAGTTTCAGTTCAAGAAGGAAATTGTTTGTCCCGAGTGTTATGACATGTTAGAAGGACAATGTAAGCTATCTAATTAAGAATTTTGGGAAGTATTAGTGAATTCCTTAGTTTGCTTTCATGTATATATGCATATGTACATATATACATATATATATATATATATATGTATGCATGGACGTGCATATACGTGCATATGTTTGTATATATACGTGTAAATATACAGTTTCAATAATTGTAGATAATGCGGGTACATTTTTTCCGACTAATATACTAGTTCGTGGCTCTGACGGTCTTCTTAGGATCCGTGTAGTGAAGAATAGTGGTCTACATGATAAGGTGCTTTCATTTCTGTCTTTGAACAAATTAGTGCTCCCTGATTCAGATTATCGCAAAGTAATGCCTTAATTCAGAAGTCGAGTCTCGTTGAGCCACAAACGCTCTTCGTCCCTCCGGTTAATAGAAGGTTGAAGCGTATGAACGTCAAAGAACGCATGTTGCAGAACAATGGACTTGTGTTCGGCAAGGTGGTGCTTAAGTGAGTTCTACTTTATTATTTAGTTCATAATCCGTCAAGTGCATGGAAATCTCTTGCCTTTTGAGGTGGAATTTGTATTGATTGCTTCCTGGTTTGAGATTTAAAGCACTTTTTCTTCTGTTTCTTTCATTGTGTCTGTGCACTGTTCTTTACAGGATCGAATTGATCCATTTTTCGTAGATATATCGGACAAAATAGTTACATCTTTCACGTCTCGTTTGATCATATTTTACGATGTCGTAATGAGATCACTTTTACCTTGGTGGTAGGGATGTGTAGATTGTAATGGCTTTCTTTTACTTCGCTCAGGGTTGGAAAGGATAATTAATGTTTCTGGGTATATGGGCTTTGATTAGAATGCTCGTCGCCGTGAGTGTAAGAACGAAAAACTCTACTTCTGTCTGGAGGAACAGCCATCATCGATATCAGTCACCTTTTGAGTCCTTTGGATAGTTATCTGTGTAGAAGACCTTGAGAACAGAGTAACTTTTTATCCAGAATGACATCAAAGAAATCACGACTAAGTCTGGACAAAGGAACCTGGTTAAAGGTTTAATAAAACCCTCATATGTTAATTAATGGTCTGAAATGGTCGAAAAATAGAGTAAGATTTCTGGAAAGTACTGGGGATGACACTGGTCATCAGTGCAGAAAATCTGTTCCTTTCATGGAAGTGAGGAGGGAAGTGATGGAACTTCACAGTGACAGATTGCGCATAGATGTTGACTTTGGGATATGTGGAGAAGATTCGTTCTTTTTTGTAACTTTTGGTATTTACGCCGTTATCTGGATATGCAGAGCCAAGTGTTTCACAATTTTAACTTATTATTTACTGTTTACTCTTTTTATTGGCAGGGTATATTGCGAAATATAACTTCAGTGAGGCTGAGATATTTGAAAACTCCGGAGCGCGGGTGTCTGCGGTTGGGAACTAGCGCGCTATTGTCCTTTCCGGGGAGCAACGCGTTCACCACCACACCATGCGGGTCCTTCGTTTCCACTGTCTCTCAGCTAGTTCTATCGATCTCTGCCATCATCAATTACCCGTCAGCAAGATTGATCTGGGTGCCCAAATCGGCAACGAACCCAGTTAAGCCGAGGCTGGCGGGTGATTGCTGATGGCAGAGATCAATCGAATTAGCCGAAAGACAGGCGAAACGAAGAACCCGCATGGTGTGGTGGTGAACGCGTTACTACCCAGAAAGGACAATAACGCGTTCGTTTCCCACCGCAGACACCTGCGGTCCGGAGTTTTTCAAATATCTCAGCATCGCGGAAGCCGTCTTTCAGTTGTTAGTTCAAAAGGTCCAGGGAATTACAATGCCATCTATATACACATTATTATTTAGCGTTTTTTTAAAACTTTTCTTTGAGCGTTGTAATGATTACTGCAAGTGATCGTTCTTTTAAGGACAGCGAAAGGTGCTGAGGTTTTGCGATACGCTCAGCTCTCTGATGGCATGGTGCTGAAATTTTACAGGGCTCCTTTTGTGAGTTTTTAAGCTCCACTTGTTATTAGGTCCTCTGTTTTTGATATTTATATGAACTAGGAGAACCTTTAACCTGTTTTAAACGCTGTTTGCTGCGATTTTCATAAGTTTGCTTGTCGTAAATAGTTTTACTGAATTGGTAAAAGGAAAGTAGGATGTAGTTAAAGGTGTTCTTAACGTTTTATGGTTCGTTTAGGATCATGAACCATGTGAACAGTATGTGATCTATGGCTTTAAATTGCGCGAAACGGAAATGGAAGGCGGGGGAGCTCAATTCGATCTCGTTCATCGTAATCAAATACGTACAGATCGTAAAGAGCATGTGATATCTTTTCGTGTCGAGCATGAGAAAAGTGTGAATAAGTAAGTTTTTTAGTCATCAGTTCGTAAATGTGTTAAAGGTCTTGAAAGACAATGGTAAACTTCTCAGTCTTTAAAAAGAGGAGCACACCAAGTTCTCTACTCCAAGTCAGTTGTCGAAAGGTCTCTTCTATGACGAAAACGTCGACTACGATTTGGTGTTTTCATCTGGGGAAAAGTTTAGAAGTAAAAGCATTTTATATGAGACTACATTGTTTGGTGTGAACTTCGATTTTAATGGGATGTGTAAAGTCCTCTAACCTTTTTAAAGGCAGACTTTACACATTTGACTAAGAATAGCTACAACTACTACACTTTACTTTCTTATATATCCTTAAAGGGTTGGATCCATTCTTTTGATATAAGAAGATCGTCTGGACACTTATAGGCATTTTATTGGCCTATTTTTTCTGAAGAATAATGTCACTGACATGTTCGAGGAAGTGGTAATCCGTCGGTGATAGTTATGGTCCGTTATGATGCAGATGAAGTTAAAGCATTGCTCTGCTTCTAAAGAAATACTGGTAAAACATGTTGGCGAGAGTGGTCGTGTAGGAGAATTGGTCATTTTTCCTTGATTAGCAAAAGCTATTTTTCTACTATCTTCTTGTAATTTCGATTTTGGGTAGTATTTTTGTGATACTAGACTTCTAAAGGCGTTTACAAAGTTGTATTATATAATGCTAACCGTCGATTATCAAGCAGACCGTGTGTAAGCTTGTCCAAGGATAGTGTTGTGGCTTTTCATCATTAATCAACCATTGTTGTTGAGCTGTTTCCGATTCGTTAATTTCAGCCAATATTGACATAAACGGTTTCTCTTCAACGTGGTCTCGCGCCGCCTACCGCAGACCTTTGGTTTTTTTCTTGCGAGACTTTCATCTTCAGAGTCCAGCATGTGTTTCACTAATGTCGAACTGCCCATTTGTTGATAAAACTGTTCCTAAGTGCATTTTAAGTCTCTAAAGCGGTTACTGCAACATTACGTGCGTTTTTTTAAAACTAATGCTGAATCATGAAAAGTTTTATTTAGAATCTGTAAATAGAATCTTAAATGGAATATTGTTTCGGGAAAGAAAGAAAACGCCGGAAACTTTTCGTTGCAAAATAGGACGCTTCTTAGCGAACAACCATCCTCAGTGTGGCTGCGTTACTGCGAAATCGCGAAGAGGGTGTCGTAGGCTTTGTAACACAATAGGTGGTTTCTATCTTAGAAGGGTTGTTGATACTTTCTGAATAGACCGCTGTAAAGCACCGTGTGATGGTGTGGTTTTTAGGAAAAGAAACATACGTTTGACAAGTATAACGTTGGGGTTATGTTGGAAGGCTTCATAGATTCTTACTTGTTAGGCGTTTTCATTTTTGGCTTTCTATTTGGCAACTTAAAAGGCATTTAATCACGTTAGTGCATACCGATATTTCTTCCCTAACTTTTCTCAACCTAGCATTCTCACTTTAGGTCTTATGTTCGTAGAAGAACATGACCGAGAACTCAGGTCAGGTCTCAACTGCATGAGAGCTCAGTCAAGACCCTTGTCACATTTTTCTTTTACATCTTCACACCAAACGTTTTTCATCAGCTATCTATTTCATCCTCCAATTCTCCTTTTTTTTTTCCTGTTCTTGCTTATGTAGAATTGAAATGGTTGAATGGTGCTTTTCGAAAAAATAATCATCGTGACCGATGCGAAAGTTCGAGAATAGTTTTCTGTACAATTGCTACTTTGTTCCAGTTCAGCGCTTAAATATTCAGCATTCATATAGAAGATATTCTCAGGAACTTCCAAGAAAATGGCTGTGGGAAAGTGGTGGATGATACGAGTTGTAGTGGTCTGCTGAAATTAAATTTACATTTTTTCTTCAAAGAATACCTTTATGTTAAAAAAAAGCTTTTCTAGTTTTCCACAGTTAACAAAGGTTAAAACAAGGATCTATTCGTGCCGTATGTGTTGCCCTATCAGCGGTTTAGATGATTTAGCCAATTGTGTTTTTGCGGGTTTTGTTGCGCTGTGTCGATTTGGATTCATTTCAACATCGCAGGTGCATGGAAGAGGATATCGTCTGGGTAGCTGGGTGTAATTTAATGGTTGTTCATCGTATGTCATGTGCATCATCAAATGAAACAATAACTGTATTTGTTCATACCTATAGGGAACCCTTTTCATCTTATCGAAATTGTTCCCTGTTTTGTCAGGAATTCGGAGTGTTTTTCCCCTTTGTTGAAATACGATAAGGCTTTGCCAAAATAAAAAGAACAGAGGAGAAGCTCACGGTAGTTGGTTCCACTTCGTATCGAATGCTAAGTGCGTACGCTTCATGTGGTAAACATAAGAGTGATCCGAGGTTTTACAGAATACATGGTATGTAAAACGAGATTCACAAGTCTATGGTCAATCTATGTTTTAGTTTGATAATTATATGGGTGTCCCTTTTGTCAATAATCGAAATACTAGATGAATGTTTTCCTAAGAATGGTTCACATCAAGTTTTCCTGTCTTTTGATGAAATCTCTTGCTCATTGTTGGCAAGCTTCTTCAAATTCACCTATTGAATGCTTTTTTGTTGGTCTTAATTCCGTTGAATCATATATAACATAAGACGCAGATTACGATCTGATATCCTATACAAAGAGCGCGTGAGCTTGGCGTTTCTAAGAGCAGCTCTGCGTGCTATTGTAATATACGCATGGAAGGAAAAATCCGTATAATTTGTTTTTATCGGATCCTTTTAGTTGTTTAGAATCAATGTCATTGTACACAACCCATAACTTGATAGCCTCTTAGTGACTGTCACAGTTTTACTCTTGAAGGCGACACGTTTAGAATATAGGGCGGTGAGGACAGTCATGATAGCCGCGTTGCTACGTTTCAGTTTCATCGTTGCTAGTGGTCGTAAGTACCCTGATTTTCGAACGACAAACGTATTGGCACGGAGTCTCCTGAGTTCTGGCTGTTTACCATCGTTTAAGCTCTCGGCTATCTGAGAATCCTGGTGTTGATCTTATCACATTGGTTTGCGGCCACTGGAAACGCGTCACCATTATGTTGGATATTGGCATTTCTTCTGACATCGTAGGGTCATTTTTTGTCCTTTCAACATTCTTGAATTAGCTGAGCCCATATTGTGATGTCCTTCTATTCTTTTTTCTGTTTTTTTATAAGATCAAAAAATTTCTTGTTTAATTTTACTAACAAAACCCTGATTTTTGACCCACTTTAAAATATTGCCACTATCTGCTGGATGATGACATATTCCGAGTGTTTAGCATCATTCAAGCTTCCGAATTTGAGAATCTTGGTCCTCATCTTATCATTTGCTGCCACGTTTTGTCATTTCAATATTCCTGAATGCAACGACTCCTATGCCACCGAAGATGTAGAGCGTAGCTCATAGCTCAGAGAAAATCGAATTTCATTTGCTTAAATTAAGTGGGTAAGAGACGAACTGAACAATGTTTTCTCCTCTTTGCCGAGAGTCAGCAGAAAGACGCGGATGCTGACGGAAATTGAAAATCCGTCATGTTTCTCACTGAAGAATCTTAAGGTATGTTCGCTGAATACTTCAGGTTCTTCTGTAATCACGTGCAGAAAATCGAGATGCTAATGCTTTCGAGGCTCAAATCTATTTGAATGATTTAATTTGATGGAATGCAAGTGTCTAAACTCTGAAAAGGCGTCTTTCCGGAAAGGCCAGTCCAGTTTCGAGCAACGAGCACGTTGTGTGGGCTGTTATAAAAAATGATGATGTTACGATTTTAACTCTGTTGTTATGCCTAATAGCGAGACGTTGGTCAGAAGCAGCGAATATTTCTTCCTCTGCTATCGTTGATTTAATTTCCGCTGTCTTCAGTACCCTCGAAATTTGTAAATTGTGTGGGTCGGGAATTGTAGTGCTTATGAAATTGTGGAAAGTACAAGTTGTAAGTTGCAGATTGCAAAATTAATTGCTTCGAGCTGAACCTTAGTGGAACATTGTGGGATTAAGTGCTATGGAACCGCAGTCTGTCAAAATGTTCAATGTCTGGGAACACATTGATGAACATTCTGTGAGCGCATGAGTCTTCTACAATCAGTAATTTTGTTGCAAAAGTAGAGATATTCTGCAGCCGTCCTATTTAATAAGTCCTTGTACAGAGACTTTGTTGTCTGTGTAGATATCCTAATATCTTTTTTTAACCGAAAGCCGTCTTACTATCGAGTACGTGGAACTCACTTAAGTTATTTGTTTTTTTATATTGCAAATTACTTTGTAGAAAACACTTAGTCTTAGAGAACACCGGGTACTTTATCTTCGATAGTGGATCTGTCGATGTAGAACAAAAAGCAGCATAAAAATGTTGGTTCAGCAAATGGGATAATTCAGAAAAATGAATTACAAATGAGTCACAATGAAGAGAGTGAGAGGACACAAATGAGTCATATTTGACTCATACTATGTCTCTGTCATTATGTGCATTTTTATGCATTTTTACAGCAGTTAGTGATTTTGTCTCGATTTGTAGCAAGTTTAGAAACTACTGGAATAAAATAGAAGAATTTAAGTTTTTAATAGTTTCTAAAAGGAAAGCTCTTGCAGTACAAGATATTAAGCAGGGGAACCACTTAGGGAGGGTGTGGTGCCGAACACTGCGTATTTCAAAAATTCCATGACGAAGATGAGTGTGTAGACCACTGCTACCATCGGCATTAACTTTTGAAGACCCCAATTGAGAAAATTTGAAGGATTTTTGGAATAAAAAACGCTCACAACAATAGCTTTGGGACCAAACTGAATCGGAAGGTCAGAAATTCATTAAAGGAGTGTCGTATGGATTGAACGAGTCTCGGAAAAAAATATCAGTAAGGAATCTGTACTCTGCTTTTTTCCGCTGCAAATCTGGATACAATGATTAGCTAGGATAAAGCATCGAAATCTTCATTGAAACTACATTCATATCAAAAGAAGGTTGTTGTGACCACTTAATGGCCAGCGGCATCATTACTGCAAGTTCACGAATCCTGAGGGTAC